ATTATATAAGGAAGTTTAAACTTAGTCCGAATGTTACTTTATAGATCTTATTAAAATATATAATTATTTAGTTTAATAACTAATTATTGATATAAATATTTTTAATAAGTTAGTTATTATATTTTTATAAGTAGAAGTAGCTATTCTTTTTAAATAAGAGGTACTAAAAGTATTTATTATCTAAGCACTCTACTTAAAATAATTCCCTATAGAATATATCCTTAGTATTAAGTAAAGAGCTATCTTTTTTTATTTAGGGTATTATAAGAACCTTTTTAAGTTTTATTATTTTATAGAATTATAATATTTATTTATTATTAAATAGGTCGATATTCTTATGTTAATTCTTATTAAAATCTTTTTTAGAACTAGTATTATTAATACTAAGATAAGATCTATAATTAGTTTCTATTTAAATACGTTATTAAGTAACATTACGAAGTTTATTTAAGTTATATAATAATTCTTTATTAAAAATAAGATCGCTAGAGCCCGCGTAGGGTTCTTTATTAAGTTAAAAATTAATTTTTTTTTTAACTTTTTTAAAATCGAGGTCTAGTTTTTTAATTATTTTAATTCTATTTTTACGTAATAAGTTTTTAAATTATTTTTTAATTTTATAAATAAATTTCTTATTATTATCCTCTTATTTTATTATATAAATGGACTTAGTTGGGACTTTTTTTAAGTTAGGTCCTCTGAGCTTAAGGGGTTATTTTTATTTATTATTTTGCTATATTATATAGACGAGGTTATTTATGATTTTTTTTATATTAGGTCCTTTTTTTTTAAACTTAAGAAGCTGCTCCTTTATATTTACTTAGAGTTTTTATATAATTCTTTTTTTAAAGAGATAAAGGGTGTTTTTTATAATAGGGTCTATTTTAGCTTTCTCCTCTATATTTTTATAAATTTAGGAGAGTATAGCGATATATTTAAAGTTATTATTTTTAAGTATATTTAGTTAATATGCTAGAATAACTTCTTTTTTAGTTATAATAGCTAGTATTTTAATTAGTAGAGTAGTATTATATCTTAGTTGTCCGTTATTTTTAGGTTTTTTTAGATATTATCTAGTTTATTTTTTATTATTTTAATAAGTAAGATAGTTATTGTTATAGTAGGCTATTTACGAAAGTTATTTATAGGGGACTTTTTTATTCGTAATATTAACTTATCTCTCTAGAATAAGTTAGTATTAAATATACTTAGGTTATTAGCAGTCTTTAGCTATATATCTTAGCTTATTATAATTATAGTACTTAAAGTTTTTTTTTAAGTAGTTATTTTTTTTCTTAGTAATATTAAAGTTTATAGGATTATTATATTATCCATATATAATACTCTAGCGGTTACTATTCTAATTATTACGAAGTTTTTAATTTATTTAGAAGCTATATTAAGGTTATTATTAGTACTTACGTCCTATATTAGGTTATTTTTTTTTTTTTTTTATATTTATAAAGTTAGTTATTAATTTTAATAATAAGTTTGCTATACTAAAAGAAGTTATCTAGTCTATTAAGCTTAACTAGTTCGTCCTTAACTTCGTCCTTTAGTCCTTAATAAAATATAAATATCTTAGTATTATTAATAAGATCTAGTTAAGTACTAAGATATTAGAATTTAATAAAGTATTTTTTTACTAATTTAGTTTATTATAACTACGCAAGGTTATACTTAGCTTTTCGTTTCTTATTAAGATCCTAAAATAGGGACCTAAGAACTTTTTTAAATTTATTAAAGCTATAATAAATATTACGTACTTTAGTAGAGTATTTATTAAAAATCTCCTTATTAAAGTATTTTTTTTAAATAAGCTTAAACTATTTAAGAGCTCGTTCCCTAAAAAAGTTAGTAATGTATATAACTTTCTTAGTTTTATTAATAAAGTCTTTATAATAGAAGTTTTAATAGTTCTTAACTTAGATTAGAAATCTTTTAAGAGTACTTAGGGTATTATTATAAGTAATAAGTATACTAAGCTTAAGTTTTTATTATCCTTTTTAAAAGGGGGTACTAATAATCTTAATAATAGCTTAGAGAATACTAACTTCTTTTTAAAGAGCCTAAACGTTATTACCCGCTTCTTATTCTCTAAGTTAAACGACTTCGTTTTTTAAAGCTTAAATACGTTAAGGTCTATTTCTAAATTATTAAAATATAATTTTAAAGTTTTAAAATTTATTTATAGTTTTATTATATATAGTCTATATTTTAGTAATATTTACGTTTCTTTTTTTAACTTTTTTTTAGAATTATTTATAAGTTTTTTTTTTAAAAATAACCTCGTTATTAAAATCGACGTTTATCGGGGCTATTTCTATTTCTTTAGCTAAACTTTAAATAGGTTACTTAGAAAAAGTAAAAGAGCTTAGAATAAATAATTTAGCTAAGGTATAAAAAGATATCGTTTATATTATTTAATTAATTTTTTATAAAATAAACTTACTAAATAAGAATAATTAAAATATTATAGCTAGCTAGTTATAATAAGTATATTAATAAAAGTTAAAGCTACGATAACTAAATAAATAGTATCATAATTATAAATAGTTTTTTTAAAACTATATTTATAAATTATAAAATAAATAAAGCTTTAATAATTAATCGTAATTTTATTAAAAAGAGTTCTTAGTAAAAATAGCTAAAAATAATTATAAAATTTAATATTAAATTAATTATTAAAGAAGTTATAAAAGTTTTATCCTCGAGCTTAGCTCGAAGCTATACTATATATAAATCCTATATACTATTTAAATAATTATTTTAAAATTAAGACTAATATTATAATATTAGTTTTATAGAGGTAAATTATTTTTATTTTATTAGTTCTATTTATAGACCGCTTATTATCCGTTAGTTTTTTTTATTATTACGTAATTTTATTTATAATTCTTTTGTTTTGTAGGAGTAACTCTTATATTAGTATTTTTTATATATATATAGCGTATTATAACCGCTATAAGCCTGCGGGGCAGGCCCTGGTCTTAGTTATGTATATTGGGTCGTAATATTATACGTAACCCGACTAATATAAAATTCACCTCTATGAAAAGAGGGAATTTGTAATATAAGGTCAACTACATCTTCTAGGCCTAAAAGCTAGAGGTCACGTGTAGAAGAAAAAGTCTGCCAAGGCTCAGAGCTTGAGCGAATGCCTATATGGGCCTAGTGCACAGTGCCGCAAACCTGAGAACGTATAGCCCTTACACCTGTTGGGTGTCTGGGGCACGAAGTACCTGTACATGCGTGGTTGGAGGTCTACGTACCTCGGGCTGCTTAACCTCCCCTTTAAATGACTGGTCCCTCGCCACGGACTACAACAGTGCATCAGTTGACTAGGTTAGTCAATGAGTATCTCTATTGCGGCATCTTATTGTAGCTCTCGATGAGTGTTTCCGCGCCCGAAACAGCTCCACGAGGGCGTCGTCAGTCGAAAAAGTCTACAGGCGTTATCAGGGACGACTCGGATGATGAGCTTGGCATAGATGATCTTCCATGGGAATGGATCCTTGCGTCCAATGATGCGGATACCTCACAGGACCATGGCGACGATACGCAAACCTCTCGGAAGCGGAGGAGAGCCAACACTGAGATACGGATCATAGGAGCCCGAATGGGAAAATTTGAGTGCTTTGTTGGCGACTGTGTTCTACTGAAGGCGGAAGGGTCTAACGAGGCCTGGGTCGCCATAGTCTGCGAGTTCTTACAAGAAGAGGATGGCGAAAAGGCAGCCAACTTCATGTGGTTTTCGACAGAGAAAGAAATCCGTAACAAGGAGAGAAAACGATCAGATTTCCTGCCTGTATGTAACCTGGATCAGGCTGATTGATGGTGCCAACGCTTACCCTCAAGTTATCTAGAATGAACTATACATCTCACCTTCGTGGGATGTAAATCCGCTCGCCGCTGTCAACGGCACAGCCGTCGTCATCTCTCATCAAGCCTTTCATCAAAAGTACCCGTCCGGTAAAATACCTCGATCCTCACCCGATTTTGGTAAGACCTTCATCTGCCGTCGCGCATGCAACACAAGAACAGCAACCTACACAGATGAGTTTGTGTGGGAAGAAGTGTATCATGCGAGTGAGCAGGGCGTCTCTGACTTGATCGGGTTCGTCAAATCACAAACAAAGTCGACGCGACATGGCCAGGCAGCGAGGCAATCAACACCGGAGCAGTCGTACAAGATGATCTCAGATCGTTTGGCAGGTGCATCGACGCCCAAACGAACCCCTCGGGCCGAACATTCAACGCCCAAAGGAGATGCCCGGATAACGACGACACCTGGGTCTCGTAAACGGTATGTCTCTGCTCCATACCTAATTCACTAGGCGCCTTGCCTAACCGGCCGCGTTCATACAGGATCGTGGTGAAGAAGACGCTCGAGTTTACGCCTTTAGGTACGAGGAAACTGTCGCCAAAGCGTTTGCAGTCTTCGCCTTTTCAGCTGGCTCGTTCCCAGCTCCACGTTGCCTCAGTACCAAGAAGCTTGCCTTGCCGCGAGAGCGAGTTCAATCTGGTGTATTCACACTTGGAGGCAGCCATTGCGGATGGTTCAGGAAGCTGTATCTATATTGCTGGTACTCCAGGAACCGGGAAGACAGCCACTGTCCGAGAAGTGATATCTCGCCTAGAGGATAGTGTTACGGCCGACGAACTTGACGATTTCATATTCGTAGAGATCAATGGCATGAAGATCACCGACCCTCACCAGTCCTATACTCTCCTATGGGAGGCACTCAAAGGCGAAAGAGTCAGTCCTACGCAAGCCATCGACCTTTTAGAGAGAGAGTTCAGCAATCCAAGTCCTCGCCGGACACCGTGTGTTGTGCTGATGGATGAACTGGACCAGCTGGTGACGAAGAACCAGAGCGTCATGTACAACTTTTTCAATTGGCCTGGCCTTCGACATAGCAGGCTTATTGTCCTCGCCGTTGCGAATACCATGGACCTTCCGGAGAGAACTCTGAGTAACAAAATCAGTAGTCGCATAGGTGGGTTCTATGCATGCGTACTGCGAAAGTATGTCAAGCTGATGTGAAAAATCAGGCTTGACAAGAATCACCTTCCCAGGCTATAACCATGAACAACTCATGAAGATTATCCAGTCTAGGCTGGAGTGTGTGCCCGGAAGCATCGTGGAGGCGGACGCTATTCAGTTCGCCAGCCGGAAAGTGGCTGCAGTAAGCGGCGATGCAAGAAGAGCCCTGGACATCTGTAGACGAGCTGTAGAGCTCGCCGAAGGCGACTCCCGCTTTGAGAAACTTGCAGGCGACCCTGAGGCACGACGACCAAACCCGAGTAACGGCAGACCATCAGATGCACCAGTCAAAGTTACTATCGCCACGATCAAACGTGCCATCAACGAGGCCACGACCAACCCTGTCCAACAATACCTTCGGTCTCTACCTTTCGGACCCAAACTATTCCTGTGCTCATTACTAGTCAGAATGCAAAGAAGCGGCGCGGCTGAGACGACATTTGGCGACGTAGTCGACGAAATACACCGCATCATCAAGTTGGACTCGACGGCTCTCGAATCCACTCCCCTTGGGGCCCTATCAACGGGGCCATCAGGAGGCGATGTCGGCCAAGGCAATGGTAGTATCCGAGTAGTCCAGTCTCTGGCACTTCCTCAGGCGGCACTTGAACTAATGGGCGCTGGCATCATTGTACTAGAAGCACATAAACCAGAACGACCAAGCAAGGCGCGTCTTGCTGTGGGTGATGAGGAGGTCAAGATGGCGTTTCGAGATGACGGAGAAGTCAAAGCCCTGGGGCTGTTTTTCTAGATCACTGTCTGTACTATAGGTCCCGAATTCAGGTAAGCTTTGGGTTCGGGTATCTATTAATGTCAAGCAAGGCAGGGGTTTCCGAGCCAATCCTATTCTACAGATATCCTATGCTAGTATCTAGTACTTGCGTCTGGCCAGTGTTGGCTGCCAGATAATGGGGTGAGACTCAGGCGTCGCCTTCTCATCCTGCTTCCATATCTTGATCGTCTTGTCGGCCTCTCCGCAAATCAAACGCAGCCCGGAGCGATCAAATGTAGAGCTCATGATGCCCGCCTCGGCGTCCAAGGACCCAGGCTGTGCCGTAGTATCTAGAGCCTGGAAGCGGTGGCCTGTCTTCCAGTCCCAGAAACTCATGGAGCCATTATCGCCACCCGAAAACATAACGTTTTCCTGGTTAACGCTGAGCGTATTGATGATAGCATTGTGGCCGTCGAAGTTCTGCATGAAGGCTCCTTCGGGACATTTCCACTGCTTGATACTTCCCGTGCTACCACTGGCAAACGTAAACTCTGAGGGATGCGTGGCCAATGCCCTGACGCCCTTTTTGTGATGTGTCAAGACACCCATTGTCTTTCCGGCAGCCAGATCCCAGAGTCTCACTGTCGCGTCTAACGAGCCGGTCATGACCTGAGGATCAGCCTCTTGACACTTGACGTCCGATACAGTCCCGGTGTGGCCGGATAACACGTGAATATTGCTTCGGGTTCGCATGTCCCAGACTCTTGCGACACCGTCTCGACCGCCAGTGACCAGTACGTCCAAGGTAGGATGAAGAGAAAGTGTGTAGACGCCGCTTAGATGGCCATGGTAGTGGCGGATAACCTTGTTTGTCTCGAGATCCCAGCATTTGACCATCTTGTCTTCGCCACAAGAGAACAAATAAGGGTGGCGCGGGCTTACGGCAAGGCCACGTACCGTCGATATATGACCAGTCAGAGTCAGGCGTAAGGAGCCGGTGGCTAAATCCCAGATCTTGATAGTCCTGTCGCCAGCACCACTTGCAAACCACTTATTGCCTGGCTCGACCGCTAAGCTCCGAACCCATCCCAAGTGACCAGAAATGACTCTCATTAGCTTCCATGGCGGATGCCACTCAGGCCTGGCGCCGTGAGGAGTTGACGCGCCCGCTCGGGTCAGACTTGTGGGCTGGGACAGCTGGGAGTCATTGTCTTTGGCGCCGGGTCTTTCGTTATTGATGGTAGGAGCGCCAGGGCCGGGTCCATTGGGGCCCTCGAGAAGCTTTCGTGCAGAGTTTTCTCTGACGAGAGCCTGCTCTGGCTTGGAGTGTGCCTTGATTCGTCGTGCCTTGGTGGGAGCGGGCTGCTTAGCAGCAAGAGCTGGTGGAAGCTGCTGAACGCCGAAGTATTCGAGTCTGAAGCGGCGATCGGCACTCGTTTCGTCGCTGGGCTTCTCGGCCGATGAGTCGCTAGGCTCAGTTCTTTGTCGTTTCCTGGAGGGGAGGCCGGGAGCCTGGGAGTAAATAGTTCGGGTCGTCTTCTGATTGCCGTCTAGGAGGGATCTTAAAGGGGTGGTGTCTGACGAGGGCGCCGTCGGTTCAGCCATAGCGGCTCCCATCGCAGTGGCAGCCTGACTGAGTCGATGGAGCGGAAATATCGCAGAAGCGCGTTCTGTTTGGATTTGCGTTGATACGACGATCCAGCCTATGCGCCAAGTGCTGGAGAGTTATCGTGGTGCGTCGCGGTGCGGCAGAATGAGATGGGATGGGTTGGAAAAACACTGACGCGCCAGAGCCTTGAATTGGATATCCATCTGCAGCGCCGGTTTGTGTGGGTACGTACCTGTATCGCCGCATACCTGGTAGGTACCAGCCTGCGGTCCTACCTTACCTTACCTGACTAACAGTATTCACGTACAGTATCCGTACTTTGCCTTGAATAGGTACCATCAGGCTCCAGGTCACTTGGGACTTTAAGCGGTGAGTCTTTACGGCACTACTCTAAGGTATCGAGAGATCTGTGGCGATGAAAATTTCTGAACGAAGTCACACCGGTGAGTATACGACGTTCACCCGGTTCCCTTAAGCTTGATGTAGCCGGTAATGTGTAAGGCGAGGTACCTCAGCCTCGCAAGATGTATCTACCTGCCACCTAGAAACCTAGCTTCTGTCGGACCTCTTTGTGAGCTCCGTCACTAGGTTCCATGACTGCGTAGTTCTGCTGCGTATCTTACCTATGTGAGGTAACGGTAGTGACAACGTTGCTTATTGCGTATCAACTCCGGACGGCGGCTGAAGTGAACTTATCGGTGCCGACTTTGGAATTTTGAAAACAAGGTGGTAGGACCTACCTCAGGTATCTATCTACATTACTTGAGGGACCGACTGCTACTTGTCTCCTCTTTGCTACCTCAACAACTGCCCTCCTCACCTTTCATCATTTCATCCCGGACAAGGGACACGCGGATATTCCTATCGATAATAGGCCCTCCCTGTGCATTCAGCTTCCTGGTACAGTAGGTGTCCGTCGGGTTTGTCATCGACTATAACTCTACGTGTAACTTTGAGCTCGTCTCTCACCGAAATTGACTTCCCACGGGATCTGGCCCCCAACACTATCAGCTTCACGTAACGACATTTACCTTCGTACCACAGCACGCCACCAAACACTGGTCACCATTACATGACTGTCGGAAACCTCAACTAGAAGGAGATAATAGTCAGGATGCCAGAGGCTCAGGACAAGTTTCCTCTTCATACTGCAGCTCGCGAGGGCAAAGGTACTTATTGTGTCAAGAAGTCAGCAGCCGTCGCTTTGCTTCTCAAAACGCCATATCTTAGGAATGTGGCTAACCGTACCTGCAGTATCTATCGCAGAAACCATACTCAAGGTAGCTTCTATTTTGAGGCCACGCTAGGAATATGCATTGACTGACATCGTATTGTAGACGGAACCCAAGCTGGCTGTACGAGAAGACGATGACGGCAGACTTCCCATACACTGGGCCGCGTCCTCCAACTGCATCGACATCGTCATCCTACTTACGCAGAGTCGTAGCTTTGACCCTGATGTCCAAGTAAGTGAGATTTCTGGGAGGCTTTGCTCTGAGGATGTATCATGATTGTCAACCATCCACTTGACTGTGAAACACACACTAAGCTTAATTCTTGACACCTAGGATGGCAGCGGCTGGACGCCACTGATGATCTCTGCAAGCCTCAAAGATGGCGAGGATCTCGTCAATTTATTTCTCCAAAAGGGCGCCGATGTCAACCTGAAGAGTAAGATATCTTCATTTTAATTGTGCGCCCTCAAATTTAGACGCTTCTAATAATCACTTGCATGTTCCAGACCATAACGGACAGGTAAGTAGGAGAGGATTTCCACTGCTTCCCTTACTCCTATTCAGAACCTAATTCAGGTTGATCACAGAGTGTTATGCACTTTGTGGCATCAAAAAACAACTTAGACGTCGCGAAAAAGCTTCTCAACCACGAACCGCCCGCATCCACCAAGATCCGCGACAAACGCAGCCAGTATGCCATACACAGGGCTGCTGCCGTAGGCTCAGTTCCGATGGTGGCACTTCTGATCAAACACGGGAGTCCCCTCAATGCCACCGACGCCTCTGGCTACACTGCCCTGCACCACGCTGTTGCTGAGGGCCACGGTGCGCCTCATTCCAATCCCCAAGCTACGCGATACGAACTATGATTGACATTCTTCACCAGGTGACACAGCAGTAGCTTTACTAAAAGCTGGCGCCGTGATCAACAAAAAGGACAATGATGGGTGTCTACCTCTAGATTTGGCCCCTGATAAAGAGGTACGTGATCATATCAGCTCGACAGACTTCTTGATTTACAAACTATATTGGCTAACCTTAGGGCTCGAGAGCCTCTGCAGGTCCGCCGGTTCATTGAACGCGCTGCCGAGGAGGAGGGCATAGAGCTATGAGATAGCTGAGCTAGCCACAGGAATAGCATACGGTATCTCGTCTCCCTAGCTAGGGCGGTGGTGAGATTACACTCTCACATTGACTCGCAGCAAATGACAACAGCGTGCAGAATACGTTTGCTTCGTGTGCTAAGCACTTATTATTCCTTCATCTGATTGTGCGCTCTACTAAGTCGCGATACATGGCCTTGACATCCTGCACGTCAGCCCGCAACTCTTCTACTAGCTCGCTCTTCTCCCCGAGTAATTCTAGTGTTGTCTGGTATCTCGAGTTCAAATCCTCAACCTGTCCCTCCAACTCGGTCACCCGTTTTGAAGCCGTCTTGCTCGACTCCAGTTCCTTCATCAACGAAACAATCTCAGCTCTAGCGTCGTCTCTTTGTCCCGATATGCGCGCCAGCTCTTCCCGAGACGTTACTTTCTCCGCTTCCAAACGACGGATGGCCGCACTCATTCTTTCGACCAGCTGCACCGAAGGCCCTGCACCAACCGTTGACACGGAAACCATATCCTGCATCATTTGACGAGGTGAAGACGATGTTTCTATGCCGTCAAACAAATCGTCTTTGTCGCCTGCGTACGATGTGGGCGTAGGTAGCGAGTCTGGAGGCAACTCGAATGAAGTAACGGAAGGTGCAACCGGTAGGTTGGAGCCGCTAGGCAGCATGGACGGTCTTGCAGGAGGCTGGCTTGACAGTCTTCTCCCTAGCTGTGAACCCTCTGGGAAACCGTCTGTTCCACTAGTCGGGGTCGATATTTTGCGACCCTTGCCAGATACGCTGTGCAGAAGTAGCAGGTCGTTACTCATCGTACGCGTAGGCACGGAGAGCAAGGGCGATTCTGGGCGACTCTGAACCCTAGATCCAGGACCGGGTAAGTGGTCTTCCAGCCAAGGCCGACGGTCGGGCTCGTTGGTTTCAGTCTTCCAAGCTGCCTGCTGCTTTTCGAGGTCGAGCCTGACCTGAGATAGCGCTGCCTCGGCGCTCTCTGCTCTTTTCTGCAGCGTCTCATTACGAGCCTGAATGCTCTCGATATCCCGTTGATAGTTGGGAAATCTGCTCGTGAGCTCTTGAAGCTCCTCATCCTGGCGTTTGCATCGGGTTGCCTGTAACCGCTTAGATTAATGACACTCAATGACAGAAGCTCCAGTATATGGGCTGGAGGAATAGTAATGCGCCTTACAGTCTCTCTAGCCTTTTTCCGCATGTCTGATTCGCGTCGCAGAGCATCATCCCTCTCGCGCTCAAGGTTGGCTACTCGTGCGACCAGACTGGCCTCAATACCCTGCCAATTTTCGGCAGCAATGGCATGTTGCGTCTGCAGTGTTTCCACTTGACGCAAAAGTTTGACTTGAGAATCACCCACAGCGCCAGAGGACGCCTCTTCCGCTAGCGCACGCATCGCCTCCAGCTTCCCCTCCATTGCTTGAAGCTCCGCCTTCGTTTCGAGTTCGGCGGCGCGGGCGCGTTCGGCGGCGCGCGCTACTTTTGCTTCTGCCTCTGCTGCACTTTCCTTTGCCCGACCAGCGATGAGGCTTCGCTCCAGCTGCAATGCAGCGACGGTATCTTCAAGGTCCTTAACGCGGCGTTTCTCGGCGGTCAGCGCCTCCTCGTTCGCTTTACCTACAGCGGAAGTAGCCTGGTCAGAGGCTCTCCGGAGATCATCCCGAAGCCTCTGCATCGTTGATTTGTTTGTTGACACTTCATCGCGCAACGCGCTTAGTTCATCTTGCATTCCATTAGATTTGATCTGCAGTTCTTGGTTCGACTGTTCCAGTTCCTCGACGCGGCTGGCTCGGGGGCGTAGGGTTTCCACGTCGGCAGTCAGCTTTTCTTGACGAGCACGCAGCTCTCCCAAAGTTTTCTCGTCGCCTGCGATCTGCGCCCTCAGTTTCCTGATAATGACCCGATGTTTCTGCTCCGTGGCGGCCAAATTCCGGCCTTCGTCCATAAGAGCCGTAATCTTCATGTCCCTTTCGGCAAGGATTCGCTCGTGACTTCCCGCAGTTGCCGCCGCCACCGACGTTCGTGCGGCGTCTGTAGCATCCCGTGCCAGGAATTGCAGCTTTGCCTGCATGGACTCAAACTGTTCGACATAGTGATGCATCTCCTCCTGTTGCTCCTTTGCTGATTGTTCTGCCCTAGCTTCCAGAGCCTCCACCTGTGCATGAAGTACCGCACAATCCTTGCATTCGAGACGGTTACCAATTAAGGTGATGGCTGTCTCGAGTTCTAGTTGTTGACCGGGGGCGGCAGAGGTACCTTCCGGCTGAGCCTCCGAGTTTCGGCTCCTCTCCGGTGAATCCGGAGCTCGCTGGCTATCCAGGCGATCTCCTTTGGAAGCCTCGAAAGTATCGCCCTCATACTGCATGGTGTTATTGGGTGCGGCGGCCTCAGTCGTGATTGCTGCCGGAGCTGGGGTGTTTGCTGGGCTAGGGGCATCGGCACCCCGTTTTTGAAGCGTACCGACTCCTGGACGACCGCCATCAGCGCTCGGTCGAGCACTCTGGGAGTCTGATGTTACGCTACGAGCATCGGACGGCTGAGTGCTTTTAGCGGCAATGGCCTTTGCAAGACGCTCTTGTAGGCGGTCGTTGGTACGGCTGCTCGTTGAGGATCGAGGCTGGCCTGAAGTAGATATGGTCAGTGCCATTACTGTGGTATCACTCCACGATGGTTTGAGTCACAGGGAGCGGGATGGTTTACTTATTTGCTGGTCCTTGGAGGGAGCCGTGGTAGAAGCCGTAGCAGACTGGGGAGCTTGCGGCGGGATAGCTCCATTCTCTCCCTCAGCAAGCATGTTATCGAGGCGGGCCTCGACGCCGGCAACAGCTTGCTGGAGGAAAGAGCCCCAACGCGTCGACTTTGCGGGAGCTGCCATAATGACAATCGGCTGTTGTATCGGTCCTGGGTACGTAGAAACGAAGACGGCTGGGCTATGCCTCGTGTCTGTTATGTGTTTCGGAGGTCATGAACATTTCGAGTAGGATTCCTAAGACCGTGACACAATGGGAGTGAATCGAGCTGCCGTGCTACCGACTCGCAAGAAGGAGAGTTGACTTGCCCCGTACTCGGCAAGAAAGTGTGGAGGTTGCGTGTTCGGTGACGAGTAACAGCGAGAAGCTTTGGGATTCGTGGTGCTGAAGGAGGTGGGCCGGTTGCGACGAAGAAGAGCAATGCAGTACAGCGCGGCAGCTAGTAATCGGTTTGAGCGTCGGTCGGCTGAGAAGAAGTGGAAGGATGGATGTGTTGGTTTTCTGTGCTAGTTGTGTAGACAAAGAATGCTCGTATGGACGACCAACGTGGCATGTAAGGGAGCTGGAGCAATATTGTTTATTTAGGTTGGGCAAAGCGCAGTTGCGGTTCCGTGTCGGGTCGCGGCAAGGCAGGGAGGTAAGGTCAAGGTACTCCGTACAGAGTGCACACGGCACTGATACTTGAGCAGATGACAAAACCACAGTTCTTACAGCGCGAAGATCTGGCTCAAGGAGGGGTGACCGTTTCACGCTGGGAGCCTCAATGAGTGTGCAGCTCTGGTATTACAAAGGAACTTGCCTTTGGTGTAAGTGAGGCACATTAAATTAATACAATGTGATCAAAATGGGCACATCTCCAGCCCAAGGTCGTGATACTATGGTACTGCGTACCATCATCTTTGCGGCCACCCGGTAAGTATCTCCATGGCGTGGATCCGTCAAGACAACATGATGGGTATACAGTACCTTTCCTGCAAGGGTCCCCCGCTAAGGCGGCTAATGGCGCTCTATGGAGACCTTTTCGACGAAGAACAACGCAAGTTGTGACTTGACGCGAACTAGATACTCTCCAAGGTAGATCATTTGGGTTTGTAATAGTCAGAAAGATGGCCATTGCGCTGCTATCAACACAACGCTAACCACTAAATTTTGGGATACCTACTCATTCCAGTGAACATGAAAGTAAGCAGGAAAATGACCTTATAAGAGCCTCCAACCCGATTACCCATGCGAATAGCGTGCACATGTGCCTCTACCGCATTCCGGTAGGGGCTGCAAGAGGTAAGGTACGTCATCCTCCGCTGGGGCCTCGGAACGTCCACCGGAGCTGAACCGAGTCGTGTCTGCAACGTGGAACCAACGAGGTTCCATGGATTGTCTTCGCCATCTTCGTCGATTTATGGACAGAATTCATTCTTTACCATTTACCATAAGGTATAAGACCGTAATCACTTACGTTGATCGTAGTGCGTCTTCTTTCCCACTCCCGCAAAGTTGCATGCCACAGGCCCGTCGTGCTCTCATACCGCAGATTTCCAAACATCGGACAACGAACGAGCAGGGCCACGAATTAAGGTAGTCCAAGACAATCCTCCCCAACTTGCAACCTACAATACCTCCCATCTCTTTGAGTACCAACCAAAGTGCTTGTGGCTGTCCATCGCTCTGCTGTGCAACTGGAGGTCAACTGGCGGAATCTGGCCCAGTCTTTCGCAAGATACTGACTGATTCAACTTTCCTCCCGAGCGACCCGGCACTTTCTGCGAGTTTAGTAGTATTCCCCCTCCCCATATCCCCCCTCTCCTTCTCTCGTTCTCCCATTCCCTCACCCTCTCTCTCTATCTCTCTCATATTCTCTGTGTATACTGGGCGCGTGCCTTACTGTTCTGCTTTCTCACCTTTGTGTCTCCAGCGCCGCTCGGAACACGCAGACGGAAAGTTTAAAAGACCTTTTTGGAACACTCGGAGACTTTTCCATTCTCTGCAACTGTGGCAAAGTACCAGTACAACCCCTTCTCTCCCTCTCTCTCTCTCTCTCTCTCCCAACAAAGCTGCAATCTGTGTTGTTTCGAGCCAGTGCCCGTTTGAGCTGAGGAAAAGCTGCTCCTTTGCCTCCTGCCTCTTGTCTCGCTGGCCCGGTTAGATCCGGTCAAGGTTGTTCGTCACCAATGGCTTCATCTCCACTGTTCCAGGCCCTGCGCGTGGCGTACAATGATGATACCTCGGAGGGCTACTGGGGAGAAAAGACTTCAACTCTGAATTTCTGCGAAGAGGTGAGAAACACATCGTCTACCGGTGTGACAGCTCTTCGCCATCTTTGGTGTTGCTGACCCCTGCTTACCTTTGCCGACACAGGACTACGTAGTTTCTTATTACTGTGCTGAAGTTTGCAATGTAAGTGACTACCAAATTTCCCTGCTTCAGTCAGCTCTTATCTTTACTAACTTGGTCCTTTGAAAGACCTTGACCAACCTCCTATTCCTATGGCTTGGCTTCAAAGGCGTGCACAATTGCGTATCTCAGAGTCACCCACGCATTTTCCTAGTAGCATATCTTGGATACGTTATCGTTGGACTGGGCTCTACGGCCTTCCATACATCTTTGAAGTGTTCGTCCTCGCTCCTCGCCCATTACATCTTCTGCTACCTGCACCCGGAGTGCTGAACTAACATAACTACTTGCCTAGACCCCATGCAGCTTATCGACGAGCTGTCCATGATATACACCACGTGTCTCATGGTCTTTGCAACGTTTTCATACTCAAAGTCCAGCAGATTTTCGGTCTTGTTAGGCAGCGGTCTCGTTCTCTTAGCTGGCCTCATTACGGTGTGTGAATCCTAAACCACCATCCCCGGCGTGATGGTTGTGAGAGCCCAAAGGTCTGACTACTGTACCAAAGTCCTACTACCACATCACCAAAGATCCGGCTTTCCACCAGGCCTGCTATGCGGCGTTAACAGCAACGGTAAGATTTTGAACCCACTCAGCGCTTAGATGCCTTCCTTGTCGGCCTTGTCGGAATGCTGACTAATGCTGTGCAGGTTGTTTTACGCAGCTTGTATGTTATGGAGACGCAGCTGCGGCCAGTTCTGTCACGAAGAAACAAGGACAAGGCCAATTTCATTCTCAACACCATGTGGATCATGGTTGGAACAGGTCTCTTGGAACGGCCACAAGCCATACACGTTGTTCTACCATGCTGACATGACTGATTAGGACTCAGTGTCTTCCTCATGGGGTTTCTCATTTGGAATATTGACAATGCCTTCTGCGGCCAGATAAGGCAATGGCGACGACAGCTTGGTCTGCCTTGGGGCGCACTGCTCGAGGGTCATGCTTGGTGGCACTTAATGACAGGTGTTGGTACGTATTTCGATTGGAGCGGTACTATCATTTCTACCAAGGTCGTTGCTAACGTGGTGTATAGGAGGTATGGGACAGAGAACATACGGCATTCCCATCTCCGGCTTGTGCTAATGAGTTATAGCTTACTACTACATCACATGGGGAATATGGCTACGCAGATGTCTCGAGGGCCACGAAGATGAGTACAAACTCGTCTGGCCAAGGTCGCTTTCGTCGATACCGCTAGTGGTCAAAGCAGAGAAGTCGGACTGAGGAATACGGACGTCAACCATGTACAGGCAACCGGCAGCCGTACAAGATAAAAATGCACAGGCACCCCGGTCGAGGTCTCGGTGACAGCAGCCGCATATTCTCAAGGTAAGAAAAAAAATAAGCACCTTCAGGAGCCTTATCTTGAACCATTGGCAGATAGATATATCCAGCAGCCAGCACTGCTGGGCTCAGATTACAGGATAATGTGTGCCCGCACCTACGGCATGCTACAGATACCCCATCAATTGCAATCGATTTGAGACAAACACAAATTTTAGATCTCGTTTGACCTTCTGCAAAGTGAAAGAAAGTGTAATGCCTTCCTCAATTCATCTATCCCGCCTTAGGTACCCTACCCTGTAGTTAAGGTAAGTAACTAAGTGCGGAGCCAGTGAACATGAAGCAGCGATAAATGCATAATCTGCTGAAGGTTTGTGTTTTTACTTATTGCATATCTTACTAAAAGCCTTTCTCCACTGATAGGTACCTTAGGCAAGGAGTGCCTCAAAGCTTTAGTATGTGATTTCAGATTCCGTAAGAGTACCACCTTTCTAAACCAACACTACACGCAGTCACCGGTCAGGCGTCGTCCACTAACCAACCCCACCTTGTCGCGAGCTTCAGCCAAACGAAATCCCCTTCTCATAGTAATCTCACACCTCAGCTTGCCCACAATATCGTCGCCAACGACGCTGAATTCAATTGCAAAAATCCAGTTTCATCCGCGTCAGCCTTTATCGTTTGAGCTAGGAAGAGCAACTTGCCAGGGGCACCGATCCAACGTGCCCCCCCGGGAACCGTTGTATTGTTGCATCAAGTCAACATGTCTATCCCGAACCAAGCGCTTGAAAAGGTGAGAGGACAACAATGATAGGACCCCATGCCTTTGGTTCCTACTCTGCACTTCAGCTGCCGTTTACTCACACGTGTATCCGTCTAGCTGATTCGAGAAATCGAAAGCCAAGCCATCGTGGCCCAGCAGCAGATTGGCCAGGCACGCACACAAATGACGGCAAAGCAACGAGAAATGCGTATGGTCCGTCTGACGCTTGATGAGGTTTCCACCTTGCCCCCGAATTTGAACGTCTACGAAGGTGTCGGCAAGATGTACGTAAATTCCCTGCTGACCTATATTCTCATTGTGTGCGCTGCAGCCAAGTTCCGTGTTTGACGGATGTCGGATGACGAAGCGGCTGCAGCCAGGGGCAATAAGACCAGAGTCTATAGATTATATTGCTGACGCCCAGCCTCGGGGCGGAAAAGGTTCGTCGCGTTGCCCACCCCGCAGCTTACACAGAAACTGGAGGGCCAAATCAAGGATAGGGAGGGCGAGGTTGAGAAGCTGAGCCAGAAGCTGCACTACCTGGAGACCACGTACAAGAACAGCCGGCAGCACATTGACCAGATGCTCAAGGCGCAGTCATGATGGCAGATGCTGTAAGAGGCCAGAGGAAGGGGGACCAAACGACGGGATCAGGGGCTTATTGCATCATGGACAACGGAAGAAGGAGGCGGAGGTGGAATGTTTCCCCATGCAATCATCTTTAAGCGTCGGGACGGGACGCCAAGCGTCTCCGAGTTGATAAGCACTCCTACGGCTCCGAATACGGGTAGAACAGCATCTGAAGACATCTTCTCTCGAGCGATCGCTCGCAATGCGGCGCGAACAAAGTGCGTGTGCATGTTCGTGGTCGCTTCACTTGATAACAGCCTCGTCTGGAGACTTTCTTCGGGCATCAACTTGGCTCGAGACATGAGGGCGCAAGTAACGGTGCTGTAATGGACGACGCGGAGCACTCTTTGCAGTTCAGAGCTATATTCATGCGTGTCAGCATGGGGTAACGAACCATATGAGTGATGACTCTGTGAGGTGACTGGAGATCGGGACGAGATACCCTCGCACTGGCAAGACGTGGAAGCTGGGTCTGAAGTTTATTACTGCCAATAGTTGGACGAAGAGGAGCGAGTGTCCTTGCTGTCTTTACGACGTGCGCCGACAATCTAGGCGCCGCGCCTCTCTCACGTCGGCAAAGTCTCATGCCACCGGTCTCGCGTGTTCGTCTAGAGCAGATGGGTCTTCATTGGTGATGAAGTCTAATCGCTCTGGGTCTGCAGAAGAGGCCTACACTGCTGTAAAGTGTGGCAACATCATGGACGTCCAGCAGACCAATGCGACTGGTGCGAGTTTGCCGCCATCAGCTTCTAAAAAGGGCAGTTTCGTCCAAGCCAACTTGGTCGTCTCTCATTGTTTTTCAAATTACCGGCGGTCAGCCCTCTTGTGGTACTGTGTGTGTACACCCAAGGTAAGACCCGGCGGCTGAGGTTCAGCTCTGGTGGCCTAGGCCTGGCCCGTTGGTACTTGAGGGTACACGAGCTGATTCGGGCTGCTATAATTACCTTACCTGGGTACGCAGGCAGCCGCAAAAAGGGTGCTTTAGGATGTTGGTCCACGTTTGACTACTTACCTAGGGCAAGGAGCTGATGGCTTGAGTGAAATATTTCACTGCGCCAGCCCGGCCGTTCTCGCAGGATGCCACGACTAAGGTAGGCCAAAAAAAAACAAAAAAAAAAACGGCTGCCTGATAAGGTGGGTTGATGGATGGCTGGCAGTGGCATTTTGCTGGAGACGTGAGGGCTTGCCGCTCATCGCTCATCGCTCGAGGACTCATAAGTGAGGGGGTGGCCGGGGTGGCGGGGCCGGGGTTTGAGACCTTGACACGACAAGGGATTTGCAGTGCCATCCACCTAGGTACGAATATCGGTACCACATGTGCGGCGTGTCTGCCCTCCCTACCCAAGGTACCTTAGTGTAGGTCTGACAAGACATCACAGTAAGGTAAGGTAGGTAACTGACGCTCTGAGATCACTACCCATTTCGCTTCTACTCGTACCCAGAAACACCTCAAGTTACCTACCTTATGAGACGTAGGTGTATAGCGCCATGTGGTGAGGTCAAGGAACCTGCCACCTTACCTTACGAAGCCTAAGCGCGTAGGTGCCACATCCTTCCTTTACTGTGTACTTACCTTAGGTACCTAGGTAGGCACGTAGGTCAGCACGGTTACCCCTACACTACTCCGTACAAGACCGATGAACCCACTCTGTCAGCAATCGCGCAGCCCTACGATATTAGGCTAAGCCGTTTCGGGCCTTGATGGAAGGATATCTGCGTACCTCCCCTGCCATGCCTACCCACCTGCCACCATGCGCTGAACTGCACTACCACGTTCCAGGTCAAGGAGGCACCCAGGACATACCTACTAATTCAGAACTAGGTATCCGTATCCTCACCTCACCCTCCAGGTACCTAGTGTATGATGGCAGTCATCCATCCATTCTGCGGATGAACCAACGAATGAAGGGTCGGCCCCGTGCCTTGCCGATGCTGACTGCCCCGCCATTCCTCCCGATACACCGTCAGATAGAAGACGCAGGTATCACTGAGGGAGGTGCCTTGCCTTGCGTGCCATCCATCTCCATGAGGTAAACCACTTCAAGGTGAATGTTTCGGTCCTGCATCCTCACCCTCTGTCCAAGATGCCAGGCTCGATTTGCTAACTAGGCGCCGAATACTCAGTGACCAAGGGCTGTATTGTATGACGCCGGTATGGGATCCTGCGGCGTTGGCGTCCGCCTATCAAGACCACCTCATTTTCTTCCCATCTCACAAACTACCTACCTTACCTACTAGATATCTTAGCGGTCCCCCCCCCCCCCCCCGCGACGCCGCTCCCACATCACAGCCCCCCAACTCGCAGCAACTTCATGAGGTAGGTACTCTACCTTACCCTCCTTTACCTAATTTTTTTTTTCTCTAATCACGCTTACCTTACCTTACCTCGGGTTCCCTCTTCGGACGGTCTTGGAAGCCCCAGGCCCTGCCATCCTGTACAAACCCCCTCTCCTAACCTGGTCGCTTAGCTTCCCTCCTCTGCCTGGTGGGCCATCCCCTCCACTTGGCTCGATCCTCGCACTACGGCCAATCCAACCACTGCCTCCCCTTTCTACCATGCTTGCCATGTAAGCCGACCGACCGGCGGCCACCACCTCATGTCGCGCATCTCGTCGTCCCCCTTCAGCTTTTACCTTACTTTCGTACACTAAGCCAGAAAAAGCATAAAAGACCATAGAGTCGTAGTCTTCCGCCCCCAACTCCTCTTAAACCACCTGGCCTCCCCTCCTGTTGCTCGCCGTTGTTGAGTTTTTCCCTCTCACAGCACATATCGTTTCCATATTGTAGGCTCACAGAGGTGTTTAGCGGGTGAGCCATTGTTTCTCATTCTCCGCTGCTGCCCACACCATCCTTACTTCAACTATTGTTGAGCCGTTCGGCGCTTCAGGCACGATGAGTAACAGCTACTACTCCGACTCGGATGATCTTGACATACGAGTCTCGAGGCGTCGCGCACCGTCGCCTTCACAGGTTCACTATGTCGAGGCGAGATCGAGACCCAGTAGGAACTACTACCCGTCAGCAGGCCAACAGCCTAGCTTCTTGGCTCCTGAGCGCACAGTCATTACCACTCGCACTCGATCAAGAGAGCGTTCCCGTGAACGCCATTCCACTCCACCAAGCCCCGCTCCGGTTCCCATCTCCGCCCCGGCTCCGGCTCCTGTGATTATTAACAACCGTATTTACAACGAACACTCGTCCGACGACGAGGACGATCGTCACATGCAGGTCTACCACAGCCGTCACCGTTCTCACTCTCGTGGTCACTCGTCTCATTCCCGGTCACCTTCGTCCTCTTACATGACCCGGGAGGATTACGAGGCAGAACGGGCTCGACAGGAGCTGGCGGAACTCAGAATCAGTCAGGCTCGCGAGAAAGAGGAACGCCGGGTTCAAAAGGAGTTCCGGGAGGAAGCTGAGCTCCAGCGCGCCAAGCGCGATCTCGAAGATATCCGAACCCGTGAGGCTCGCGCTGCCGAGGAACAGCGCTTCAAGACCAAGATCGAATTGGAAAAGTACCAAGAGGATATGCGGAAGGCAGACTTATCCAAGAAGCGAGAAAAGGAAGCTGCCGATGCAGTGGAACGCTACAAGAGAAAGGAGGCAGATCGACTTGCGCAAGAGAAGAAGGAAAAGGAGCAGCGTGAAAAGGAATTCCAGCAAAGGCTCAAGGAAGAACGTCAAAAGGAGCTGGACAAGCTGGCCAAGGAAAAGAAGGAGAAGGAGGAGCGCGAGAAGGAGTACCAGAGACGTCTCCAGGAGGACCTACGTAAATCAGGTCTTGACGACAAGGCTATTGCTGCCATCCTCAAGAAGGAGAAGATTCCGGAGCCACCGAGACAAAGACCAGTCCAGCACGATAACACGCTCGTTGCTGCGAATCGCCCAACCTACACGCGCATGGCACGGAAGCACCTTTCGATTGAAACCTTGAGAACATACCAGGTCGAATGGGAAATGGATGTTGTAAGCAAAGTCAAAAGGAGACTAACTTCTATTGCATCTGCTGACTTATCTCAGGATCCTGATTACGTGCTCATCAGACGATGGGTGCCGGAATGGGAGCAAGACACCCTTTGGAGACACACCAGGTCGATTCGCGAGAAGCGCTCATCCAAGCTCGTGCTCGAGATTGAAGACAAGAAGTCGCACCGCCACGAACCAGAGTTCGAATGGGTCAGAAAGAAGAGTGACCGGAAGAGAAGCAAGTCGCCCGCGCTCCTCATGTACCTTGCAGGAGCGAAACCGGCATGATTTGAGGGGGATGGAGGGACGACATTCTGGTCGGCATCGGGACCGAGCACGCCAACCTTTTTATCGCATCCAAGGCGACGATGGCGTTTGTGTCTGGGACAACATCCTATATTCACATCACACGTGTAGCTGGATGCGATTCAAGGGGTGGCCACACGAATATCATGGATGCCCCCAAAAATCAGACAGGCTTGCTCGGATTATTTGTTCTTTTTGGGAGGGAATATATACCATCAGCTACTAGTACAAGTCGTCTTTGCGGGACGTTGGGTTTCTTTCAGTGGACCAAGGTGGGATTGTATGTTGGAGTGCGAAGTCGCTACGGCTCCGCTGTCGTTGTCGTCGTCAAGTTTGAGGACCAAGTACGTTCAGCTCTTCTCATCAATTCTTCATATACAGTCCAGGCCAAGGCTGAACTCATTGCTTTTCTGCTCATGCGGAGCGCAACACCATCCATAAGTGACCGAACGCCTTCTTCCGAAATCATCTTGTGGCAAGCCTGATACATGTTCCTGTAGACAGCCGGCTGTAGTTGAATCCTAGTTTTGATAGCATCGAAAGGATTCGAGATAACGGAGCACGCTCCACCCGCCATGACTGCAGAGCTGAAATTGACTAGCGTTGCATGTGATGTTGTAATGGCGATGGGGCGATTCGGGTTGCTGTCTTTTCGAGTAGACAGACTGCTGAGCTGCTTCTTGAGCAGCTCATAGAACAACACATACATGCCCGCATACGGTGCATCACGGACGGCGGTAGCACCGAAGCCAGCAAAGAAGCCTCGCGGACCATGTGTCCTGTAGATGTCGGAAGACGCACCGAGCAGGGATTTGTAGGAATACAAATTGGATTCATATCGAACCTTGATGACGGTCAACGGCATGAGGACAAAGCCGGCAAACGTCCTGGCGACGGCGCCGGCGACCAGGTTGGCCGATGGGGTTAACGTCGGTAGTGAGGACGAGTGTGCTGCTCTGTTGCCAGCGGCTTGGCTCAATAAGCGCGACTGGGCTACATGCTGGCGGATGGAGTTGAGGGATGTGAAGTAGAGGGCCGAACCGAAGCCGGTCCTAAGGGCTGATGGGATTGTACCGCGCCAGAGCGTCTGGATCTTGTTGGGGGTAGCGGCAACCTCCCTGAGATACGACGTCAGTGACCGGTGGCCAGATTGTTGAACACGAGTCTTGAGTAGGTCAAGCGGTTGCAGCAGCACCGCCGATGCAACACCGGAACCCAGTCCAGCAATGAAATGCCGAGCTTTGAGAAGAGAGGGACAGGTCAGCGCAGCCTCAATCACAGGTGAGAGTATGGGGAAGAATTTTAAAGGGGTAGCGAGCAAGGATTCATGCGTATGATTAAAAAGTGACAGGTGAATGAGTGTGTATGTCCTTTTCTTACATGATTTTATGCGGCCCGGAGTCGCCTGTTGAGACATGGGGACTTTCTGAAAGAACTGGTGTCGTATCTTTTGACGGGGAGATGATTTTAGACGAATTGCGGTGCAATCCTGTGTGGTGTGGCGGCGAGTTTGTTTTACGTTTGAAAATGAGTGTTACAAGCAAATGCCATTGCATCACCTATCAAAAATGTCCGTAGATGTATAGATTTCCCAGGGAGATGCGATGGAGTTCAAGGCAGAATGACAAGGGAAAGATGATCACAAGTTGTGATGACTTTTCAAAACCGGCTGGCAGGGTAGATATCTACATAAGCACATGAGGTAGCTAAGTTGAGGTAAGGTAAGGTCGTCGAGGCAGGTCGGTGCTTCTGACTCGCTAGCCGTATCGGGCAACACTTAGCAGAAGATCGGGGAGCCGTAATCGGTGTAATGACGGTTATATACATAAGGATCCCATGGGTCCGACCGGGTCTTTCCGGTCAGATGGCCTCCGGCAGGCGCGGCGTTCCCGGGCCCGATTCTCGACGTTTGCTTACCCAACGTTGGAGAAACATAAACCTCTGGTTTGTACCCAGTGAGCTCCTCGAGATCATGATGCTCTCCTCTGCCGGTTGGGTGCTGTTGGAGCGCAGCGTGAAACATAAAACCAAATGCTTGCAATGGTAAACATGCCGTCGAACCTCTCGTTCATGAGGAGAGAAGAGTTGGCGCTTTGTAGACTCGCCTTCCATATTGCTTTCCGTCTTGCCTTCCGTCTTTTAGTCATCCTCTTTCAGACGTGCCTGTAGTGCGATACCACGACTCGCAACATCTCCGGATTCATGACTCTTTGGCTCCTGTCGCCTTGAAGTCACCGATAACTGATTCAAGGCGCCCGGACAACAGCCGGTGCCTCTTGACTATGTCAACCCATTCAGACTGTGTTGTCACTTCGTGGTCGTCTCCCAAGGTTGCCAACAGCATCCCAAAATCACCTCCGAGCCTACCCAAGCTCCCTGAACAGTACAAAACCTGAGTGAGGATACTATCCCTTGCTGCTTGGTCTTTCACAACCGGGAGGTATTTTTTCAGGGTTTCGAGGAGCATCTCCACAAGATGAAGCGGAAATGTTGATAGTGTTGATGGCATAGGTTTGAAAGGATTCTCGTCGTCGCTAGTGGCTCCGGTCTGATATCCAGTGCCGGGAAATATGCTCTTGAACATGGAGACAACGCTGAAGCTCTGCTCACGGAAGATCTCGACATAGCGTTTGAGATACTTTTCTGTCTGCTGCCCGCCTGACCAGGACTGATGATTGGCGCTCTGTTGCCTCTGCCTCTCATCGTCAGCTAGCTCACGAAGGGGTTGTAAAGCCCCCAAGGTAGCGTCCAAGGTGGTTACGCGGCAGCAGAGAAAAAGTAGCGAGAGGGTGTGTTCCTGAGAACCGCGGCTCGTGGAGCTCATGGAAGACATGTCCGGAAGTACCCTTCTGAGCCAGCTGATGGTCCGCAGTGATGCGGCCAGCTTCAGTCCAGGAGACTTGAGGGCAGTGATGAGATCGGCCGTCATCTTCACGATGGCCTCGTCAGCCTGGTGGGAAACGAGGCCGACCAGCGGCGAAGATGAGTACAAGCCATGAAGTCTCCGAATATGGGCATTGAGATCGAGAGCGGACGCGTAATTAGCAGGAACGGTGTTGATGGCGGAAGAGAGGAGGGTAGGAAGTTCTAGCACGTCGACGAGACGTTCGACATTGCGAAGTAGCAGTAAGGCGCGTTTCCTTTCAGCCAAGTCCTCATTGTCCCTGGATTTACTGTAGGTGGTGGAAAAGCGCAGGGCCTCTGATTCGAGCTTGGGAATGGCATTGCGTAGGTCTGCCGTGTCGGCGACAAGAGTAGGCAACGCGCTGGTCAGGCTAGTGTGGTTTGAAGCCGAGTCGATGATGGATTTGTGAGAGCGCTTTGAGACGCCTTGAAGCGAGAGGAGAAGTGAATGTGATGTCTGGGCCAGGGATTGAGGCTCGGTCGACGCTAGTGCTTCCGGACTCTGATCAGCGAGATGGGACAGATATGCGAGCTTGGTTGACCTTGTTGTCGGGTTGAACAGAGTATTGGCGCCGGCATCAGGGCTCGTAGACTGCCGAGCTTCGAGTAGATCAAGGAGAACGTCAGCCATATTGGCGAGATGTTCACATTGGAAAGTTGCCGGTCCGTTGATAATTACCTTGGGCAGTAGGTAGGTGTCATTGGATAGAGCAAGGGGTTGTCTGTCACTTGCTGGCAGGATCAAGTGGTGGCACCAGCAGGCTAAGGTAAGGTAGCTTGGTAGGTGCACACCAAAGGGCACTTACCTCACTACCTTACCTCAGCTTGAGCACCCTATCACTCAAAGCTATGCCGATGAATTTAACCAGAAAATCACTTAAAGCGAGGAATCCAGCTAGGCTCACCTGGCCTCCCCCAAGTCTCGTTAGGTACCTTGCTTTGGGGAAATCGCTAAGGTCGCAGTCAAGATCAGACCCCAATGCAGAGCACGAATGGCCGTGAGCACGGGAATGTTTGAACCTCCTAGGCGCTACTGATGATTTAGTTACCTATGGATCCCATACCGAAGCAATAGAGGCTTGGAATTGTGCCCAGTCCCCATCTTCCTTGCTCACAATTCATATCACAGCACCGCCTCAGTCAAGTACACTGCGCTAGGCGTGTGATGCCATCATGAGACGGACGGCTAGTTCTGGCCCTAGCATCCCACGACCCCCCCAACCACAGTACAGCTGACAGGCCGCCATTTAGTGACATGAGGTAGCTAATGAAAAACAAAGCTCGGGTCACAGGCGGAAACGGCCTTGAAAACAACTGCCTGAGAAACACTTCATGTCTGTGAACTTGTGCTCACGGCCGCCCCACCTCTGTGCCCAGTGCTCGACTAAGGGTATCTCTGAAGGTCACGACGCAGATGGCGGGCGGCCAGGTGCTACAAGTCTTCAAGGGTCCTCCTCCATCAAGCCTAGCTTCCCCCAACAATCCATCAGCTCCCCGCGCGCCGACCCCTGCTGTGCCTCGCCTGCCTCATAGCCACACAAGACCTTGAACCACTCAATCACTCCTCACGTTTGTTACTCTTGTCTCAATCACCTCAAACATCTGGTAGACTGACGGATCGATCTGGTGACAGAACTTTCCTGTCAAAGAATACTTTGAAAAGGAAGATATCCCCAATACCCAGCGCCGCAATCAAGCCGCGCAGCCCATCTTCGACTGTCTCCCCAGCGTACCACCGTCTCCTGGTACTCCCGAACCGAAGCAGCGCCCAAGACCCTCCCCAGCAGAAGCAGATAGCTCAGCTCGAGTCGAGGTATCAACACGGAGAATGAAAGATCCTTTCTTTCTTGAGCCACTGCCATGGCTCGTCAAGGCTACCCAGCCCTTTGCTGACTACTTCTCGCTGCCGACACTGCCGATCCACGTCCACGAAGTTCTCGCCTCGGCCCTCCTCTACTCGGTCATCTATTACCCCGTGTCTCCGTTACTGTCGCGATTGATAGTCGGCCGCAAATACCTCGATCTACCCCGTAAGAGACGCATAAACTGGGACGCCCATGTCGTCTCTCTTGTCCAGAGCCTTCTCATCAACGGCCTGGCCCTCTGGGTCATGTTCGTTGACGAAGAGCGTAGCACGATGGATTGGCAAGCCCGCATGTGGGGGTACACAGGTGCTGCTGGTATGATACAGGGCCTTGCCGCTGGCTACTTCCTGTGGGATTTGGTTGTCACGAGTCTCAACATGGACGTCTTTGGATTCGGCACCTTGGCGCATGCTGTCAGCGCCCTTTTTGTCTTCTCTCTTGGATTCGTACGTCTGCCCCTGACGAAGTGCTCTGTATTTATATCTTTTTTCGCTGACCTCTATCGATCAACCAGCGACCCTTTCTCAACTACTACGGCTGCATCTTCATCCTATGGGAGCTATCCACGCCCTTCCTCAACATTCACTGGTTCTTTGACAAGCTGGGAATGACCGGGTCTCGCGCGCAGCTTTACAACGGCCTTATGCTCTTGTTCACTTTCTTCTCCTGCCGCCTCATCTACGGAACTTACCAGTCTGTGAAGGTCTTTTCAGACATCTACGCTGCAATCAACGCCCACCCCGTCCTGCCCAAAGAGATTTCCCCGGAAACAGGCGCAGTGCTCGCTCCGACGGGTGTTATGAGATTTGCGACGGCGTCCTCAACGGTGCCAACTTGGCTGGCCGTGACGTACCTGATGAGCAACATAACTCTCAACAGCTTGAACTTCTACTGGTTCGTCATGATGATTCGTGCGGTTCGGAAGAGATTCCAGCCGGCAAAGTCAACAGACAAGCAAGCTGCGATCGAGTCCTCCTCTGCCAAGGCCACAGCGGCATCTCCCGCAACTCAAACCCGTCGGCGCAAGGCATAGAGTAATTCCAGGGGAAGGGGCGGGCCATTTGCGTGTAGTCGTGTGCCCAAGAGTGCTTCCCAGCTTTGACAGCGTTTTGTGGGAAAGCTGGATGACAACGGCCCTGTGTGGAGCGAGGAATTGTACAAATACGTGATAGGATGTTGCTCATTCTTTGAACATGGGTAGCTTCCTGCTTATTGCTTTACATAATCTATAGATCATCATTTCGTTTGACTTGCGTTGATAAGATACACCAGCCTAGGAGACGCAGCCTCTTTCTGTCTCATGTTTGACTTTGCCATACTCTTCAAAGCCAAAAGTTACTAGAGCGAGAGCGGGTTCATCACGGGTTTCAGATTGATGCGAAAAGCAAGGTCAAAGAAGTAGAATTAAGTACATCTATGCACGTACACTGGTATGACTGTGGTAAACACACATGACACCTATGCTATGCAGGGTGTGTCCAGAAAAGGGGGGAATACGGCCAGTTGATTCGCTCGCTCCAATCCGCAAGATGAGTCCATCAAGGACGGAGAAGGATGTGCAATTAGAAACCGAAGGGATTGTTGGGAGCTAGATATTCCAATTAGCAAAATCCTGCAGGGGCCCTGTAGATGGATAAATGTATACTGA